GACTGTGAGGTCATCATATCTAGATATACTATCTTTGAAAGTTTCATTAAGTTCGGATGCTCGTAAGCAGAAATGGATTTTTGGGTGGAGGGTGAGCCTTAACTGGTACATTTAAAAAATAATAGTGACTTTGGCTCTTCCCCAAAATCTGACGCGACGGTAAAATTTTTATTTATTTTATTCAAATATATTACCAACTCGTCATTTTGATCGTTATTTATTTCTGAAATCAAATTTATGTTGTCTACATAATGCTCCAGTATGAAATCGAAGTACAAAACATAAAACTAAAGATAATTTTAAAAGAAAGAATAGTTGGCTTAACAAAACGGAAAGTAACAAAAGAAGAAAGAGAAGTTTTGAGTTTAAGACTTAGTTTTATTACAAACATATTCATTTAAATATATTGCACCATGTAATTTTCAGTGTTGAATCTTCATAATACGAAACTAACATTGTAGAAAAGCAAAAGTGGAGAACAAAAACCGGGTAAACAAATACGTTTGCAAAAATGACAAGACGTTNATTTTGAAATCGTTTGCAACTGTTGTTCATTTGGTTGTGATGATGTTGATAATTTTGGCTTTGGTATCTTATTTAATAAATCTTTGAGTTGTGTGCAGTATTTGTTCGTTAATGTTTGATCTTGATCATCATATGTATTCCTTAATTCATATAGTTTTAATAAATGTTTTATAATATCATATAATTGTTCTATATGAAAATTATTATCAATTAAATATTGTTTTACAATTCATGCTTTATCACGATGTAAACATGATAATAGAAGACAAGCTAAAGCTATTTTATATGGTGGATATAATAAGGATACATCGGTTTTTAAACTATCATTTATTATACGCCATGTTAATTCAAATGTAGGTGTATCAATTTGCATTTCTTTTATATAAGTATTTAAAGAACGATAGTAATGAGTACTCGTTACACACTGATGAATATTCATGTCAGTACTCATGAGTAGTCGGGACATTTTTCAGCACAGTACGACTTTGAGTACTCACACTTGAGTATATTCACTAGGGCAGCTTCATATGTTATGATCTTATAAGATCATTTTTCTTATAAAATCTTCGAAGATTCTTTTACAAAGATATCGTACAAAATCTTACATGAAGTCAAAAGATCCTTTGAAATCTTATGATTTCTTGGAATAAAAGATATTGTAAAAGATCTTATAAGACCATAGGAAATTTTGATATACGATTGCTCTCTCTGGGAATGAGTAAGAGAAGACTATTTACAGAGCTCCCCACAGCTATGTTGTTTCTCTACACTTTTTTCTTGGTTTAACCTTTATATTAATCTGGAAACCGAGTGAATAGAAATCAAGAATATAAATTTCCATTGAATCATTTTGAAACTATCAAAACACGAAATCAACGCTTGTACGGAGGTAGAATCGAACACATCAATCCTACCATCCTTGTTTTAGCCGTTATTATATATCGGCTGTTATACTTTCGGCTGATAAAGAAGTCATCTCGAACAATTTGTCATGTTTATGAGAGGTAAAAGAAAAGGAAAGAAGTGGTTGATATAATCGACCAATCAGTTACGTACTTACTAAGTCAGAAATTAAACGTAATCTTCTCCTGTATAATGTATAGATATGATCACATATTTTTGGGGGGGTTAAAATACCTTATCCATTAGCCCCGTTTTCTTCATGCGTCTCCCGCTAATTTTCAGAACAATGCACAATAGTTTGACAGTTGCTTTCCACTTTGATACTCACTCCAGCAACAAATTTTACTTCTACAGCAACGCTTGAAGTTAAAAAATGTCGCAAACCAGCTGCTGTAAAAAAGAAAGAACTTCAGATCTGAGAGTTCTTAGACTCTATTGAATAATTTACTACTTTTTATTGCTTGAAGAAGAGAAAAAGAAAAGAACCGAGCTAAATGAAACAAAATTCAAGATTGACAGGGCAAAAAACGTAGCACATCTTTATGACTTTTTTTTATCTACAGTCATCAAAATTTAGCCACTATTTCTTATCCAAAAGCTTTTTACGAGAAATATTGTATTTCATTCATTTTAAAGCTTATTGAAATTTGAAGAAATCGCATATAATATAGTACATCCGTCAATCTTCCTTGAAATTTAACGATGGCTACTTTTCGAAAAACAGCAAAACAATCATCCACTCTCTTACTTACAGCTTGACCAAACTCGTCAATATTTTTTGTTATCAGACCATTCTTTATAAAGTTTGAACATCTACCAAGACACGAGTTCATTTGATCAACTACTTTAACTCCTAAAAGTTTGTATTTGAAAAATATATGCTGAAGTATTTGGAAGCATATATTTTCTACTTATAATGTTATTTTTTTGTTATTGATATCATCTCTTCTCTTTTAGATTTTTATGGACAACAGTGGACAGCATTACAAAGGAAAGCATTATTTAAGAGGTACTTTTCATTCATTTTTGCTACAAAAAAACAACAACAATCAACACTTGTGTACTCTATTTTTAAAATTTCAAAGTTCAATTTGAACTTGTACGTTTATGCTCCGAAAGACGAATCTCCACATCACACATTTGGAGGCACATATGAAGTATATGTATATTGATCTGATCCAATCATGAAAAGAGAATAATATCAATTTTGTCTATTCTATTTCGTTCGGTCTTAATACTATTTATTCAAACGAAGAACATATAAATACATTAAAACAGAAACTTTCATATAATTAATTAAACTCTAGATCAAAACTTCTAATAACATTGTTTAAAACTCGATATTAAAGTTCACACGTATTTGAATATCCTGTTGATTATACACCCATCGGTTCAATGACATCATCGTTTAGCCGTCTTTCTTTAAGAAAGTTTTCGTGAGCCCAAATATATCATAAAAAACTCGCATTTAATTAATTAGGTATATTTTCTCTGTGAAGTATTGATTTTTGGCGAGAACATCAATTATAGCCATGCGCAGTTTCTTAGTTATCTAACACATCTTTTATCTCAGTCAGTGAGACATACCCATCAATTCGACATGAATTGTTAACATATTTTATCTATTATTTATGTATGATTGATCTAACTAATCGTTTTAAATCAAAATTTTACGTGCAAAAAGTTGACAGAACATTTGGCAAAATTAAGGCACGAATAAAAAACTCAACATCGAGTCAGGTACTATACAATATTGGATTGTACAAGCGATTTTATGGCATGATACAAATTATTAAATACAATTATATTTTGTTAATACACATTTTCAATGATAAATATTTGCCCTATCTAGTTTGTAAGTGGAGAAAAATACTAGAGTTGAGTATAGATGAAGAAACATTCTCGTTATGTTATTACTTCAATGTGTTTATTTAGCTAAAATTGATAATCATACGGATTCTATTCAAGATCAATTGTATGATATTTATTATGTAATACAAATTGATCGATCACAGTTTACACAAATATTATTAATTAAAACAGCGATGAATTATATAAACAAGGTATATGAGATAAAATACATGTCATTAATGACTTCAGTTGATGAGTAGGATGTTGGACGATTTTCAGAGTTTTTCACGTCGACTGTAAGCTTAAAAAGTGTCAGAATATTCAAACTTTTCCTAGTTCGAAGTTAGTGTACGCTTTCTAACGTGGCGATCAATGGTAGTCGACTGCAGTCAATATGTGTATTCTGATCACCTTGTAATGTTGAAAAGCGATAATTATAAAAATATACGATCTTGTTCAACGTTCATTACATTCTTTTTTTTTTTTTCGTTTGAGGGCTCAAACCTTACGCTTTCACTCACTTGCTTATCTCATTTAGTTAGCGTTTCTTTTCTCCTTATAGCTACAAGCTCAACGATTACAGCAATAAAAATGCTTCAGTTATTTGACATCAATGGCAACAACTAACCTTTTAAAACTTGATTCCGACATATTGAGATTGGTTACTCAAATGTGAGAATCACCCTACAACAACAGTTGAAGACGAGGGTATTCATCATTTGCAGAAGAAAATAAGTGACGTCATCATTATCGTAAACATCGTGGCTGACTTACAGAAAATTCGACAAATAGTTAATTGTAGCTGCAGTGATAACAGCTACACCAACAACTGAACTTTTACCAATGATTATAAATATACTTTGAACAATCTTTGAATAGCCTTCTAGAAACTCAAAGTATTTGACTTACATATTTGTTGTTATTTTTGCTCTACCAGTTATCAATGAAGCCAACGTATGAGTTTAGAAATTGTCTATACTTATTAATCTCTCTTCAACAAACTTTGTGTTATTTGTTATGCAGATGGTATAGATGTTCATATGAAAACGAGTAGAGAGTAGAACTAGTTACATTTTGACACAGATATAAGTGTAAAGACTTAAACATTTCGTCAGAAACGTATTTTAATACCTTTTTCTATAAGAAAGAGTTAGAAAGCAAAAAAGATTGTTCAAATAGTCTGAATTTTATAGAGACATTAGAAAAGCTGTAAAAAAATTGTAGATTCTACGTTGATAATTCTCTCTAAATCAACAAATGACTAATAATACTTAGATAATCTCAGATCACTTCTTCACTAGGAAGAAACAAATTAATTTAAAAGTTATCTGTTTTTATCGTTTTAGTAACCCTTTGTCGGCTGTTCTTATTTTCAAAGTTATTTGCTGCAACTAAAAATATTATTCAAGTCATTCTATTCTCTGGTCAATCTGACAAACAATGGATTTAAATATGAAATTATAGAAACTAATTTCGTTCAGTTAGCCATCATATTAGCAAGTTCATCATATGTGGGAAATTTTCCTACATGTACCTTTATGGCTTGGAACTATTCATTTGTTTGTCAGCATTTATATTATTGCAGTTAACCGTTAAAAACTGACGTTAAATATTCTCGTTAAATGCTGTTTAAATCTAACATATTTAGATCGTACCGCACCAAAGACAGTGTATAATGTAAACGTAATAAAAAACATACGTTTCATCGCAGAGATTAAAAGCATTTTAAAACAAATGTTTTTAAAAGTGATTTCATCACTGATTCTATATGCAACACCTAAAGTCCACTTGTCTGAAGTAAATGACAACACTGGTCATGATGCACAATTTAGTTATATTTGCGAAGGACTAAAGCTAACGAAAACTATTTATTTCATCTACTGTTCTTATTCAATATTCTAATAGTGATAAGAGTGAAAAAGTCTTAAAAGTATGTTGATTCTGTCTGTATCTATTTTTTAACGGTAAGGAGGCACCCAGACGCGATTAGGGCTGTGACAGTTACCATATCGTTAAAGTAACTGTAATTGCTGGTCGGTTACCGTTCTTTGTAACGGTAACGTGTAAGCAGTTACCGTACAAGTAACGGTAACGACCAGTTACAAGTAACGGTAACTGTTCAGTATATCTTTCAAGAGTCAAATCTCTAAATATCTAGGTATCCAGGGTGAGGGTGAGTTACCGTTACTTGTACGGTAACTGCTTATCCGTTACCGTTACCAGGAACGGGAATTGTTCAGCAGTTACCGTTACCGAATAACGGTGGTAATGGTAACTGGCAACTGTCACAGCCCTAGACGCGATAGGTAGTGCCCTGACACAATTTGTTTATTTGTGTATGGTCACTTGGCTTTGTTTTATAACAAACCCTGTTTTGTTTCTATTTGTTTATGCATATACGAGTTGAGACAGTCTACTCGCAAATAAATTCGATTAGAGCAGATCAACATGCACAAGAAAACTTCTCTGTATGTGAATCTATGAAGATTTTCTTTTAATTTAATATTATTTCTTTTACTCTTCTACTTTTAGATTAAAGACGTTATTATTGATAATACCATCCACGTTGTATACACGTCTAAAATGATTCGTGATGTCACATGTTGAAGTGTACAAATATGTAGACGTCTAGCATCTGTACAAATCATTTTCTGGATAAACTTCATCTTTCTCTAAACAATATATTAGTCGACAAACATCTTCGGTTGACAT